TTTTACTGAATGCAAATTAACCTAATAACTGTCAGGATACAGAACATCTGAACACTGAGAAAACAGCAAATTTTAGTGCTTCAGGTATCACAGCCATTTACCTCAGCTGAACAGTGCACTGGGATACTGCTTTTGAATACGTATTGCCTACACTGGGGTCTTTTTACAGAGTAAGATAACTTGTTTGCAGAATCACATAACCTTTTAATTTGGGAGATTCCATGCTGTACCATGTTTGTTTGGCTTACAAGGCAATGGAGACCAATGCCCTGCTGAATAATTTGCTGTAAGCATCTCCAGATGACCACGCTTTTAGTATCCACAGGCTCATGGATCTTAGGTTCTCACCTAATACACTAACATATGAACATACTGTGTCTGCAATTTTTCTGTGGGTAGCTGAAAGGTCCATCCTACTGCTTGCAGTACAAGTGTTTCTTCAAGTACTGATGTAAAGTACTCTGTGCCCTATTGTGCAGTGCATAGTATATGGCACTTAAGAGGCAGAGGGCTTCATACTGCTCTTTTTCAGGATCAATACAATCTCGGTAACACAGGCTACAACAGGGTCAAGTTAAAAAATAAAGAGGTGCTTCGAAAAGTTGCCGAATAAAACTGTCTAAAGCCCAAATCTACACACCTGGATTGCCACTTTATTGCCATGCTGGCAAGCAATACTGAATCCTGATATGGCTCCAGGTATATTTACCCACCTCCTAGTGTGACTGTGGAGGGGACAAAGTTACATTTAGTCCCTCAATAGTTTTCCTTGATGCATATCACTTAAGGTGCTAATCCAAGAGCTCAACACTATTTTGTCCAGTTCATCTCCAGTTTCGAATAGTAAGTATGCCCTAGCTCCCACAAAGGGATGTTTTGCCATCACTCCCAGAACTTCAGTCCTACAACCCCTCTGTTCAGACCTTTGATCCCAGTTTTGTGTGTGTCAGGTTAGCCCAGCTCTTTTATTGCTTTCCTCATCTTCAGCAACTCATTGGTTGGAGCAACATCTCATTAGGATGGCAGCTGAGCCCAGAGGTTCCTCCCAGTGTTACTGAACCTTGTTTTATGGATATGGCAGAGAGAAATGTTTTGCAGGAGCTACCTCAAACCTTGTCTTTTACCTGTCATCAGGATGTCGAGTCTCAGCTTATCACATCCCATTTCCTTTCTCAAGAAGGCAGAAGACTGATCATATGAAACTCATTTTGATGTATTGAATGGTTATATTCCTCCAAAGTCATAAAATCAGGTAACGTTTTACTGTCCTACCACTCAAAGCTTAAAGTGGATGTTTTCCCCAGGACACTGAATGTCACCCAGGCAGAATCTGTTCACTCCTTATATCCCTACATTTCACCAGTGACAGAGTTCCGTGAACTCAGGGCTGTGGACATCCACATGCACAAGTGTTCTGGTGCTTCGTCCTTCTCCAGTGGGATCCATCCATATTGAATTAACCACTGACAGAAGAATTTAAAACATTTATATTTGTTCCTAGGGTAATATTAGAAAAGCTCAGTGATCTCAGTATTTACCTGGCACTTAATGAACTGCTTTTTGGACACAGTCATTCTGGCATTTAGAAATGGATGACTCATTTAATGACAAATTTTTAAGAGCACTTCAGGAGCTTGTTCCTCTCCGGGTCAGCTCTACTTTATCATTCTTTCCATCTTCGCCCACTCTACTTCTCACAGTTCATCTTCCCTTCCATTTTTTTTTTTTACAGATTTCATCCCATAGCTACCTGTTTCTATATTCAATGTATAGGCACTTGTAACTGAGAATGGGTTACTTGGACTTCGAAGGATCAATGCTGCCTCATTCTGTGTGGTAAATGAGCTGTTGCTGATGCTTCAGGAGCTGTATTTGGAGTTTGGCTGCCCTGGAAAGGAGGGAGCCAAACAAGCAGGTGGGGCTTTTTCCAGCACCATTCTGTTGTGTGAATGGACTGCAGTACTGTGGCTCCTGCTTAAATCCATGACTAAAAGGCCTTGTTTAACTGGTAGGTAAATTCCTTTGCCAAGTCACCGTTTCTCAGATTGCTCACACTCCATTTCTCTCAGTTAAGGCATATCATTTAGTACATTCTATACACCAGCTCTGAGTTTATTGTATCTTCACATTGTCTTGTTCTCACATTACTCATTTACATAGGTAGTTCTTATTTTGTATCAGAATTTTTTTTCAGGAAATCACAGTGTGACAGGTTTCTGGAGATAAAAATTCTAGGTAGTCCTCTGAGTTTTCCTGGTTACCCAGTTTTGTGTTGTAAATAAACACAGGCATGCTAATTGGGATACAGTGGTATTTCTGAGGTTCACATTAATCTCAGTTCTCAGTTGGGCAAGGATTTCTTGTCTTGTCAGGAGAGGAGAGTGGGAGAGGGGGAAGCATGTCCTTCTTTATTCACCCAGCTATTTCTCATATCTGTTATTTTTAGCATCCAGGCAGCATAACTGGAGTTTTTTCCTATCTCCATTTCTCTTTGTTGTGTTTTTTTGTTTGTTTAGGTTTTTTTTTGGTTTTTTACCAGTTTTCAGTGTTAGTATTTATACAACCTTTATTCCTTTTAATCTGATTGCTAGGAAGGTTGTTCTATTTTTGCAGGATCCCAAGTATCAGGTTTTAGACTGTAGATATTCCTCTAGTACCTCTCTGCTATATTGGAGGTCCATAAAAGAAGGATTGCTTTAAATGTGCTGCCTACTAAAGATAAAGATATCTCTTAATTCACCTTTTTCCTGAGAGACATCTTCAGGCTGTGAAAACTTTGCAAGGATATAAAATGAGAGGGAGTTTCTTGTAAAAGAGAGGCCAAAGGCTGCTTGAATTAAAGCTATGCTGCATCAAATTTCAGTCCCAAAGATTTTTGCCTCTCCTTACAAAAACCTGTAACAAAATCAAAGCATGAAGTTGAATCTTGAATTTATAGCCACATAGTTACTCATAGCATGCAGACAGATCTAAAGAAATAGCCCTTGTTGATGAAGTTTGAAGATATCCAAGAAGCATCCATCTGGTCGGTTGTCCAAGTGGGATAACTTTCACGCATAAACAGTGTTTGAAATTGCTTTGGAGCAGATCTAAGTTTCTGTCTGTTGTTCAAGGGCAGATACTTTCTTCTTGTGCTCGCTTATTTTTTTTTTTATTATTTCTTTTCAAATTAATATGTACTTATATCCTTAGTCCTTAGGGTCTGTTGCTGACTTGGAGTTAGGTGTGAGTTCAAAGGTGAAAAGATAGAGAATTTTTGTTTGAGGAGAGTTCACCATGAGGTGCTATGAAATTATTTATCAAGTGTCACATATATAAAGTGCAGAGAAAAGAATTGTGATGTTACAGGAGTCTGGCAATCTCTAAAATGGTAGCTCTAGAAAGCTAATAAATTGGACAGAGAACTAAACTAATTCAGGATCTTGTCTACTGCCTCTGTTAAAATCCATTTTAAAGGCATTACATCAGCTTAAATAGAGGTAGTATTCATTCACATCCCCTACTGAATCAAGAAAATCATATGGTCAGCAGAGGAAGGAAGCAGATGAAAAATTATTTCCTATTTTGAATTCCATCAAGCTTTATCTGTGGATGTATCTTAACATACCTTGTAAAAACCTTAAAAGTCAGTATGTGACAGTGGTGTCTAGTAATATAAGCAAAAAGAGCTATTTCATGACAGTGATAAAATCCACATGCAAGGCAGTATTTATTCTTTGATCCATAAAAGCTAGATATGCAAATACAGCTTCAGTGTCTTCCTCATTAGATAAAATGAAAGGGAAACAAAGTGTTTGTTTGCTTTTGTACATTTTTTAATGCAGATAATCTTTTAAAGGGAAATTGACCAAGCAGGTTGACTTCCAGATAGCGGACTTGATGTCTAAAATGAATAGCTCTAACTTCCTGAGACTTCTGTTTTTAAGTCATGCCTCTCCTTGAATGCTATAAATGTAGCTAACATAAAAAAACACAAACAAACAAACAAACAAACAAAAACCAAACCAAAACAAAAACCCCAAACCCATACCTAAGAATTTACGTTGTTACAATATGAATCCTAAGACCGTGGCACTTAAATTCAGTTGAGATCCAGATTTGTTATGTAGAGTTCACTAATGCAGAAGGATCTATTTTTCTAGTGTTCATTATGTCATTCGCATCCAGTCTTATCCTCATTAGGGAACCTGGGGTGCTGCCACATAGGATTTCTTGAGGAGAGGATACTCAATGTGTGTTCCACAGCAAACAAAAGTGAAAAATGGGAACATGGACATGTCCAAGCAGTGGTATGTAGAGATACCTGGGCTAGCTGAGGTGCTGAAATAGCCACAGAAGAGCAGCTGACTACCCAGGCTAATATATTTTGCTTCTCAGAGGAGTTATTTAGACAGACTGAGCAACAGGAAGCACTACAGAGGCAAGGCTCTGAATAAGCCCTGCAATGGGCCGTGAAGGTGTGGTCCATTGATTGCAACCTAATAAAACTCTTCTGTGAAATCATTTCCTGTGCTGTGATGATGAAGAGTTCATTTAGTCTTAGCAGATTGAAACAAGATTATTGTTTTGTCTAAAAGAATGGTTTAAGATCACCATTTTTTGGTAACCAGTGGTGACAAATAGTTCATCATTCAGAACTTTGCAAAAATTATTTATATTCTTCTCCCTTCCGCTGCTAGCTTCATCTTCTAAGGGATGTATGAGTCCCCTCTAGTACTTCTAAAATAACTTAAAAACCATTTCCATTTTCTTTTCTTATAAATCTTGTCACTCATACAGGATTCGGGGTGCTGTGTGGAGCAGTTTTTATTTGCAGTTGATTTTATCTGACTCATAGTCTTTTTATGGGACTTGCTTTTTTTGACTTTTGGGATAGGATTGTTTGTACCATGACAGAGCAGGGCAGTCCTGATTCTGAAAGGGGCCTGTGGGTACTACTATCGTGTGAACAATGCTGAAATAATTCTTTTTTGCACGGAGACTGCTTTCTTATTTGTCAGGCTTCCCAGAGGAAAGTGGCAGAAGCAAGGGCTCTGGCTGCTGAACTTCAGCTGGGTGCATTCATCAGGATAATGTCATGCTAAGAACTGCTGCAGAGCTCACTCCTAAAGTGAGTCCTATATCCATTAATCTCCAGAACTAGCACTGTCATCATTTCTGTCTGGATCCTACACACATAGCAAAGAAAAACTAAGGTGCATGTTGGCCATCAGAAGACATCTGCAGATGTACTTAAAGGAGAAAGCTTTTAGACTTCAGAGATTTCAGACTTCTGCTGGCAGTGTTTATATATATCTGCATGCTAAATATTGCCCACACTAGGTAGTGACTTAAAAACACCTATCTGAATTCAGCCTGTAAGACCAAAGAAAAGTATCTAGAAGATTTGATCAAAGCCCCCCATTTCCAGCCTCCTGGGCTGACAGAACAAGCTCTTCTGCAGAGGGAATCAGACAGGCAGTTACCTGATTTAATAGCCAGATTGTTTAATAAACCATTATAAGGTAAGTCTGTGATATTCAGCAGTTGTGGTGTTTGGAAGCAAAGACTTCATGCTGTGATGTCTAGTTAGTCACTGTACATTTAAACATCAGTCCTTATAGGGTGCTTGCATAACTATTTATCTTTAATAGGAGGAATAACAGCTCTATTTCTTCTCACTCTTATCTGACTGCTAAGCTGTGTGTAAACCTACAAACCATTACATGGAAAGAAGCTAGGTTAGGAATGCTGGTGGAAAAGTGCATTTCTTCTGAAAGTATTTTTTTTCCCCTCAATATTTTTTTAAAAACTTTTTTCTTGGAGAGGGGCTGATGTGCATTGTCATTAATATTGCATCTCTCCACACTGAAAGGAACATGGAAGAGGCTCATCTGTCATCTCCCTCACACATTGCAGTGAAAAGATGATGTACAGTTGCCTTGGCCATCAAGGGGAATGGATGCTTTTCATGCTGCGTAACTCATGGGCAGCTGACAAGGTTAAAAACATGGTTTCAAATCTGCCAAGTTAGATTACCGATCTGATAGTCACTTTTAGCTTTTAATCCAGAGTTTATAGGGAACTTCCTTGAGTAACTTTGCTGTGAACGTCCTTTGGACTTGTTACACAGTCTGGCAGCTTAAGTAAGAGACACTACCATGTCACTTGAGGTAACGGACACATTAGTAAAACAATGCAGTGAAGGAGTGAATTTATTCTGGGGTGTATATTTGCCCTTGTGATGTTTGCGTTCTATTCTATAAGCATTCTTTTGACCCAGTCTCAGCCGCATTTTCTTGTGTAATATAGAGATTGGAAAGCTCACTCGTACTCAGAGTCTTTGTTGGAACCAGATTACCCAGGTTATTTCAGAATTTCCAGAAATTAGACACGCTCCATTTGTTTCTTTTCAGAACAGATGGTGGAGTAGAATCTGAATCACTGAAGTGATAGTGGGAGAGAAGTTACAGTGGGGTAAAAAAAAGGGAACTGAAGTGAAACTTTTCACACTTTCCAGTTTTTTGCTGATTCCCAGCTTTTGTTTTTTTATGAAGAGTTTAATAGATCCAGCTTTCAGATTTGTCTCCATTATTCAGATAATATAAAATCAGGTGGATAAAATCTGGAATATTCTGCACTTTTACTAGATACTTAATGGATACTCATAAAGCATTAGACTTTCACCTCTCTGACTTGAGTTCAAATCTGTTTTAATGGTCTGATTCCTTCTTGGTGTACATTCTCTGAAGTGATGGAGCTAAAATGAGGATTAATTTTCCCACTCTTTAAAATGAGATGAATGTATGAATTTAGCATGGCATCTGAAGAAGGCACATCAAAGCTACCACCACTGGCAAAACTGAAGCCCTAGGTGAGAACTCAGTCTATTTCTAGATCTTCCCTTTAAATTATTTCCGTGGAGGTATTTTTGATTTATGCTGCTGTATTGTCTGCCATTGCAGGATCACAGACCAGGATAACCCAAGAAAATCACTGGCACAGGGCAGTCATGGAAACAGAGGACAGTACTCCTGCTCCCAGGAGAAAAGGCAAAACTGAACACTAAGTTCCTCTCTGCTGGGCTTGATTTCTTTTTAACGATGGCTCTTGTACTCAGCACAGAGTGTCCCAGAAGTATAGAGGGACATGAATTAGTGTGCCTCTTCATCTGTAGTTCTTTCACTGACACTAGTGAAAAAACAGAAATGCATTGCTGCAGATTAGATGGATGAAATGATGCCGTAAATGTGGAGGGGTTTTGTTAGCTTCTATTATTTCTGCTGTATTTAATTTCTCCTCTTAATGTACCATGCACAGAGGTGGCAGGAGGCTGAGCACAGGGCATGTGTACCCCAGTGCAGGAGGTTAAAAGCTCAGTCATCCTGCTTTTCTACAGGCTCCCTTCAAGCATATCACAGGTGGCTCTGCAGTCTGGGCTGTGCTAGGCATTCATTGCTTGCTTACTGTTTTCTTCATTTTGTGTTTTCACATCTCAGTGTGCTCTCTCTGCTATTAAGTACCAAACTTCAATACCCCAATTCCACTGAATATCACCTTATCCCTGCAAGGGTCCTGTGGAAGCCAGCTGTGCTACTCATGGCATAGGCATTTGATACAAGGTTATCTGAATTTCATCCTATGGGAACTTTTATCTTTCTTCATTTGATCTGTCTTCACTTCCATCTGTGCTTTAAACTGTGCTTCTGGGTCACGTAAGTGCTGGTGGGGTTATTAATTAGACTTGGGCAAACTGTTGTGTGGGGTAAGCAGTCCCTCATGGTTTTAAAAAAAAAAAAAAGTCAATAAGGTCCCAGGGACAGATTCAGCAAAGTACTTATGGAAAGTGCCTAAACGGAGAGATGTGAATAGCCCTACACATTTCAGTGGGATTACAGATGCATTTAAAATTACACCTGTGATAAAATACCTGGCTTCACTGGAGTCTAATCAGGGGCTTGTCAGATCTTCGCCTGACTTTTTGTGCAGTCCAAAACCCTCTGTGGTTTTCAGGGGCTCATCTGCATCCTGAGCATGGTGCAAATGCTCTGCTGTGCCACCAGCCTCTCCAGCAGCCAGATTTCCTTTCAGAAACCACACATCTAGGTTGAGAAACAAACAAAGGTGAGAGCACAGCTTTGTTTCTCCTCTTTTTCTGGTGGATGAGCAGCACTGCCAGGCTCGGTGGCTCTGTGACCTGTGACGTGCTGGCAGATGCAGCCTCGGGGCTTGAGATCACTCGTCCCCTGCCACTCTTTCCAGTGATTTTCTGTCAGGGAAGCAAAGCCAAGTTAGATTGGTAAATTTTCAACAGCGTTCACTGTAGCTTCAGGAAACAGTTGTGGTCAGTTTTATCTTGGTGCCAACTGGTACATGAAATGACATAAAGAAAGAGGGGGGAAAGTGTGTTTGGAAAAAATGTGGAATTATAAGAGAAAAATGTAGTAATGCAAAAAAGGGCAAAATTCAGAGAAGGACATTAATATGAACATAAAAAGAAAGGTGTCACATTTCATAACTATAAGGGTAGAAAGATCACATTGTTTAGTTTAACCCACTGCATCCTACTCACATGGTTTTCTACCTCCCAGATGCTCCAGATAGCTTTCCAACCTATTTTCAAGCACTTCTAATGATAAAGCATCAATTACAAGACTGTTGTCAGATTGCCCTTACAGTTAAAAAGCTTTCTTACTGTGTTATTGAATGCTTCACATACCACTGTCACCTAAAATACCCATGGTGCATTAAACTGTAGGTGTTTGTGGGATCCTGTAAATGTCTCTGCAAATGTAAGCTTGAACAGCTTTCTGTTGATTCCCTGATTTAGTTAGCAGAAACCCCTGCCTTCTCCTCTTTCTTCCATCCCTAGTCTCTCCGATTCCATGCAGCCTCCTTAGCTACTAACCTTTAAATCCTACTACCCCTCCTAGGTCCAGACCACTTTCCACTGAAAGAGACAGAGCACACAAATTGAAGCTTTTTGCAAGAGATGAAATTGTATCTTGAACTCCCCTAGGTTTCAGTTCCACTTAAAAAATCCCAGCCCAAGGACACTGAAGTCACCAGAGATCTGTAATGGTGTCTTAGGTGCATGTGGTTGGCTGTTAATGGCACTCTCAGTTGGTCATTTAGGAGGCCCAGGGCTTGACTTTTCCACTGAACAGCACAATACTCTGTTTTCTGGTGTCAAATCATCTCTGAGGAAACTGGTCTAAGACCCCTAGTTCACAGGTGTTTCCGCAATATCTAAGGCAAGGGGTTGTTCCCACTTGATATTTTTGAAATCAAAGTCTTTATGTCACTTCAGTATTCATCTATAATAGTTAATATAAGCCTTTTATCTGTGTATATCAAAGCACTTCTTGAAAGTTGGAGAGCATGAAAACTGTATTAAAGATTAAGAAATATGAGGCATGCAGAGGGATTATGTGCTTTACCCAATTGCCCAGCCAATTAATGGATTCATTCTTAATCCAGTTCCATATCCACTGGGTGACACTGCCAGGTTTTATCTCCTAAATGTAAAATATTCTACATCTGAAAATATCTAATCAAGTTAATGACATATTTTGAAACTGAATTAATATGCTATTTTTAATTGATTTTTAAAAAATAAATGTGTTTCATTAGGGTGTTTTTATGAAATTTCTGTATTTTGCTTTAGTGTAATATTTTCAGCTAATAACATGTTTAACATAGAACTGTTTGACAATGTGTTTCATTTTCTTTATTTTAATGTTTTACTCTGGTTATCTGAACATGCAACTGGGACAGAAGTCTGGGTCACACAGAAGCATTATTTCTAAGTTGTTTTATCACCAAGATTAAATGAAGAATGCAAATGGAAAGCAGTGTTTATACAAACTTGATGTTCTCTGATTTCCCTGTATTTTTTTTCAAGGGGTCAGCAGCTTTCTATTTCATAGCACAAAAGCCACCAAACCAGAGGGACCTCACCTACACAAACACATTTTGTGAGATAATTATTCGACTGACATTACAGAGCTTAAAAACACTCAGACTTCATGGTCTCTGAAGACTGAATTCATTATGTCTTAAACAAGAAAAGATTCTCCTTTGGGAATTTTCTGTCTGTCTGTTTTTCTTGTATATATAGTTTACCTGCTTAGGAATGAGGCAAGGAGAATAGATCAGCTCTGCTTAGTTGATACTTTTGACACTTTATTTTTTTCTTCTTGAGAAAAAAAAAAAAGTCTCTTGCTATTCGAAACATAACCTACTTCTCTTTATGTAGGCAGGCACATGCTTCTCCCCTCAGCTGAGACACGAGGCCCTATTCTTAGCTCCACTTTCATTTACGTTGTGCCTTGAGGCAAGATGCACAGGATATAACAGCTCTGTAGTTATGGCTGGTTTAAACTATGCAAAATTAGAGCACTCTCTAACATTACAGACCATTTTAAGGATATGTGAAAGGATGTTGGAAACCTGTTATAGAAACCCCATCCAATGATATGTAACCTTGACAAGCAAAAGGAACATTAAAATTGTTTGAAAATATTTGGAAACAGTCACCCAGAAGGGTATATAACCATCTTGTTGTTTCATCCTTTTGGCAGCTGAGGACTGGAAATCTCTCCAGTGAAGGGGTCAGCTCCCCATCAGATGCAGCTCACTTTGTTTCACTGATGTTGACTTGCACAAGTTGACAAACTAGCCCCTCACACCATTCACCATGTTATTTTTCCATCATTGCTTCAGCACCACCTTTTGACCTTTTCTTTTAGTTCTGCACCTTGGCTTTCCCTCCTGTCTCTGCACACAGATGAAAGGAGAGCAGAGTAAGTGCTCTCCTGGGAATATTACTTCATTATTATTAAAAAAAAAAAAAATCACAAACATCACAGAGAATTTGACTCTTGATAAAAGAGTTGATCTTCCCAATGAAAATTCTGTCTGGTTTTATTTTAAATGCTCTTGAGTAACCCACATGGTGTTGAGGAGAAGAAAGAATATGGAAACAGTTCTTTCCAAGTCCCAAAACCTAGGTGTCTACATGACTGGTCATGGCTTTGCACAGTTCATCCTACACCATCTAAACCAGGGGTATGCATTGCAGCAGCTCAGCTGGTTATTGGTCACATTTGGGAAGTGTTCTTGGGAGGTAATGGGTCACTTCTTGGTTGCTTCGACCTGGTATATGGGCAGGAGGACACATCACCCTGCTGGTGTCAAGGCTAGGCTGTACTGTGGAGGTGCAATCTTTCCACCTAATGCCAGAGCAAAAAAACATCAGCTTTGGAAGCTGTAAATTGTGTCCCAGCCAGGAATGGGCAGGAAGATCCCTCTCCCTCCCCATGAAATTCTCAAAGCCCTCCTTGAAGCCTCTGAGCAGAGGAACACCCCAAAGAGGCTGTGGGAGAGCAGCTCCTCTGGGTGCCTTAAGCAGGGCTCACCCCATCATAAAGAGAGGACAATGCAGAAGTGAGAGGAAATTATTTCTCTTTCTCCTTCCCCACCAATATAAGTGTGCTAGAGCATCACGGGGAGGCTGGTGGCATCAGACTGTCATAGGCCCTGTCAGGCACAGCTGCCACAGAGCTTGACACAGGGTTGGGAGCAGGGGCCAGTTTGGTTTGACCTGCTGTACTTGTTCTCTACTGGTGCCAGCAGTAGATATGCTGGTTTCTAGTTTGGGGATTTGGAAATAATTTTCCCTAGGTGAGGAGTCTGGCAAAAAAGCTCTAATGGTTTTTGTGATGGGTTTTAGGCCTTTAACTGACAGGCATCTGTGCTTTGAGTGTCAGGTACACAAAGAGCTGGAGAGGATCTGATCTAAGACCATGTAAATCAGAGGGCTGATTAAGCAAGTTGGTTTACTACAGTGGCATATGTCTCCATGAGAAAAAAAAAAAAAAAAAAAAAAAATCCCTGGCTGTCCCTGAGGGTGAAGAGAAAGCATGGATTTCATCACCGCGACAAGATTTTCAGCAATTAGAGCTACAGGCATGTCTTGCAGCTGGTGCTGGAGTAAAACTGCTAGAGATCTGGATGTTTCCCTCCTCTGGGTAACAATGGTAGATAAAGATGTAACTTCATAATTGACCAGGCAGGGATTTATGTGCTCACTGGGCTTTGTTCATGGTGTTTCTTTGCACAGCACAAAATTATCATCTGTCATCTGCTTGCTCTTTCCCTTGTTATGCATGAAGAACCTGTCTATACCATGCAAATACCCTGCACTGAAAAGCAGCAAACAGTACCATTTCTGCAGCCAGGGAACATACATGGAGCCTGCAACATCTACATGGACCAAGTCGATGATCTGACATGGCTATGTGTTGAGAAAGACATAATCATACCTCCCTTTACAGAACTTCATTTCTTCTTCTCTTGTGCAAAAGCCCCTAAGTAAAATCTGGCTGCTCTGGTGTCTGATATTCATTAAATAGCTCTCTCCCTTCTGTGTTAGCTCTGATACAAGACTATTGAATGGTGTTGGAGGAACTGTGATACTAGAAGTGCTTTGTTTGGGATATTCCCTGACAGATCAGAAAAATTAAAAGATCCCTTGGTAGCATAAGTGCAGAATCAAGGTTTGGGAGGTGAGCTTCTATTCATGTATCTCATGGCATTTTTTTAGGTTTGTGCTTCCAGAGTCTGCTTTGGATGTTAAAATAGCTGTGCTGCTGGAAAAATTCAGCCTTTGGGAAGTAAATATTAGAGGATGGCTCTCCTCTGAAAAATAACCTTGGAAGAATTGTGTTGTAAGAGTCTATATTGTGTTTAAGAATTACTTGGTATCTGTATGTGAAGCTGTGACTTCTTATTGTCCTGCACTGTCCCTGGTAAAGAAAATGTCATGAAGGCTGATGAAATAGGGAAAACAGTCCACTGGTTTTTTCTCTCTCTCTCATTAGTGTTGTTTTTATACAACTAACAAGCAGAAGGTAGTAAGAATCTATTTCAGTCACCTGAAGTCAACAGATATGACAATTCACAAAGTGAGCATGGTGGCTAGGTGAGAAGGTTCTGTGTTTGCAGTCAGTTTTCAGTGCAGAACATCACCATAATTTCTCACCCCCAGGAACAAGTGACTGGAGGAAAGGTGTGCATTTTCTCCCCCAGGAGTGACAGCTGTCCAAACACAATGAGATTACTTTCAAGGACCTGATCGATAGTCTCTGGTGTCTTTTAGGTAAGGACCATGCACCACTCGCTAACCCTCCCAAACTGGAACTCAATCCCTAAGCATGTCTGGGCAGTCTGAGCTGGGCAGACATTGTCTCTGGTATAAGCATTCCCTGAAAGCTCTAAGTCAGATGTCACCAGAACACTGCAAACATCTTCCCCATCATGACTCAACCTGATCGGGAAGAAGACCTTGCATCTTCCTTGCATGCTTTTTCTCAAATACGAGTTTGCTTGCATGGCAGATCTCAGTTGTTCAGCAGGAAAATTCAGGACCATCCTTATGAATTTAGGGCAACCCAAAAGAGTGGAAGGAGTTTGTCTTGAGTAAAAGCAGCTGTGATTGACCTCAGTCACAAGTTGAAAAAAAGCTGGATTCATTCCCTTATTCTAAATACTGTGGCCACACTGACAGGTCCCACCTGGACAGTGCACCCACTGAAGAGCACATGTTGCTGTTAAAAGTATTGCTGCAACTTCTATGATGCACAGGGTGGATATTTTATTGCTATGTTTTGCACCATGTGTTCTGTTAAAGCAATCAGCTCTTCTTACCAGTTGCTGCCATCTCTTCACTTTGCTCTGCTATGGCAATGCTCTAGCTCCTTGCAGCAGTCCCTCTCCCTTAGGCAACCCCTGTGATGAATCAAACTGCTCAAGATAGAAGTTAGGGGATGCAAGAAAGTCATTAGCCCTGTCAGGCAAAAACTAGCCAGCACAGGCTGTTTGCACCTGCCCTGTGCCTTGCTGCTGGTGAGTGTCCTACCAAGCTGACCACCCTTTGAGGCCTGACAGGACTTGCCCATCATGCAGCAGGAGTGTGCACACCACTTATGCACCAGCCCAGTTAGAAGAAACCTCAGTGCAATACAGGCAGAATTGCACTGGTGTTAGGGAGCTCTTTCTCCTAGATGGCCACATCTGAATATGACTCAAAAGGGTCAGAAGAGATGGGTGAGCAGTGCCTCCAAAGTGCTCACGATGTACAGGTGGACATGGAGATGCAAAGCCAGCATGGCGTTAGCTCTGGCTGTCCTCTGACCCACTGGCATTGACCAGCAGCACCTAGCTCAGTCCTCAGGGACCAGAACCCAGCCTGGGCAGCAGCAATATGGGCTCCTTACCCTCTCTCACAACTCAGGTCTCACTTCCCCTGCTAACATCTATTCTGCAACAGCTAGAATAATCTGGGGGGGGCTGGCACAAACATACCATTATTTCCGTAGTGCCATGAGATGCTCCAGGAAAAAGGATATCACAGGCTGGTGCCCTGTGAAAAATTTCCAAATTAGGCTGCAAAGCAGGATTGGGCAGGGCCGCTGGTAATGATAACTGAAAAAAAAAGGCATTCTGCTTCCCTGTATGTGTAAATCGAAGTGCTGCGTCTTGGAAAGTAATTATATTTTTATAGGTGTTTTTACTATTCCTCAGGAAAAAAGTTTAAAACTGCTTAAAAATATTTTTTTTGTGTAGTAATCTGACAGTGTGGCTTTCCTGAAAAAGGCAGACAGCTCTAACTCCTTTTCAGCAATGAATTGTAAAACTTTTTTTTTCTTTTCCCCCCAGTAAACAATCAAAATGGTTTTAAAGCTGTACTGTGTCTGGCTGAGCCAGAATTGGTTTTCCCCTATAGCAGCCCTCACGGTGCTGTGTTTTATGCTGGGAGCTGGCAGGGTGTTGGTAGCACCCTGGTGTTGTGGCTGCTGCTGGGCAGTGCTTACACAGCACCAAGGATCTTTCCGACATTTCCCCCCTGCAGTGGCATGGGGTGGGCAAGATCTTGGGAGGGGACACAACCAGGACAGCTGACCTGAACTGACCAAAGGGATATTCCAGACCATATGACGTCTGCTCAGGATAAAGCTGGGAGAAAGGAGGAAGGGGGTGGGGTCACCCTTGGTCCTCCGAGAAACCACTACACGTGTTGGAGCCCTGCTGCCTGAGAAGTCCCCACAGCGCCTCTTCATGGGAAGTAGAGAATTAATCTGTTTGCTTTTTTTTGCTTCCGTGCACGGACTTTGCTTTGCTTTGCTTATATTAAAACTGCTTTTGTTTTACCCACAAGGGTTGGTCTATTTTATTTTCTTTCCTCTCTTTGCCCTGTTGAGAAAACAAGGGGAAAGGGGGGAAGTGATAGAGCGACTTGGTGGATACCTGGCATTTAGCCAAAGTCAAACCATCACAGTCTATTTTGGTGACCAACATGGGGCTCAACAACGGCAGTTTTACATTAAATGTGCTGTAGCTATAGTAGTTATTAAGCAGCAAGCTCTTGTGCTGGTCACGGGCTTGTTTATTGCGCTGCTTATTTTTATTTTGTTAAGCTTGGGAGCATGCTGCAAGGAATTGGGAACATCATGAGTGGTTTTATTTTGCAGGCTCCCAAGGTACTTATTCATCCTTATGTTATCTCATTGATACTGTTTATTAATGCTGTTCGCCTGTTGTGGGTTGTGTGGAGCTTGGTATGTTTGTGGTGTAAGAGAAGGCAAATTTTGAGTGAGTCAGTACCAAAATGTGCTCTGAGGCGGCCTGTTCCTGGGTGGCAGGGCGAGTGGAAGGAATTGGGCAGATTCCTAGGATGGTTATCACCTCCTGTAGCCTGGGATCTTATCCCCGAACAGGCAAGCAACCCCACAAAATTGACACACCGCCTGATAGAGGGGTGTCTTGCCTATCCCAGTGAGAATCAGCAACTTCTAGCACTTTACTGGGGCCTGGCCTGTGCTTACCGAGCTGAAGTTCAGCACTCTCAAAGGACTGTGGTTGACATGGGAACTCAAACAATAACAACAACAGAGATTGCCCCAGTAGTTAAAAAGAAACAATGGACAAGGAGAACAACAGGCCATACCCTCGATTAATAAGGGAGGAGAAAGAAGAGGAAGAAGCTGGTCCTTCAGCAAAGGTACTGGAAGAGGGAATAACAGAGCTGAAACAGGAGGCAGAAACTACCCGGTCCCTGACGTCATCAGAACTGCGAGATCTGCGGAAAGACTATTGCCGCCAGTCGGGTGAGCGGATCGCTGCCTGGCTGCTGCGATGCTGGGATAATGGGGCAGATGCTCAACAAATGGAAGGTAAGGAAGCCCAACAGCTGGGTTCCCTTGCTAGAAATCAAGGAATTGAAAGGGGAATTGGAAAAGAGACAGCAATTTGCAGTCTGTGGAGACGGCTCCTTTCAAGTGTTAAAGCAAGGTATGCTTTCAAGGAAGATCTTATGGACAACACCCCAGGGAAGTGGAGTACTGCAGATGAAGGTGTCCAGTACCTGAAAGAATTAGCAGTGATGGAAGTCATCTATGGTGATCCAGATAATGGTAAAGCCCCTAAAAATCCAGAGGATGTCCCATGCACACGGGCCATGTGGAGGAAGGTTATTAAAGTTGCGCCATCCTCGTATTTGGCCGCGATGTACTACCCAGAAATGGATGCAGGAGAAGAACTAAGATGTACGCCAACTGTGGAGGCAGTCTCTTCCTGGCTTCAGAACTTTGAAGAGAGTCTTGGTACCTCCTCATCTCTACAGGCGAGTGCCCTGGATGTTAGGAGCTCCCCAAGAAATCATTTCTCTTCTGTCCCAGTCAGGGGGAAAGGGAAGCCAAGGCGCATGACATGTGGCAAACTCTGGTTCTTCCTGCACGACCAGGGGGAGGACATGAGGAACTGGGATGGTCAACCCACCTTTAAGTTGGAAGCTCATGTACATGAACTGCGAGGAAAGACCCCTGCCAAGAAGAAGACATCCAAGAAGTTTTTTAATGTAGCTGGTGTAAAACCACAAGAAAGTAACAAGCAATCTCCCAGATACAGGAAGACTGAGATCACCTCCCTTGACCCTGAAGAAGGAACCTCTGGCCTGGCACGGCAAGGGTCAGACAGTGAATACTCCAACGAAGAACGGGAATAGAGGGCCCCTGCCTCCAGCCAGGAGGAGGAAAGGGATGATTTGGTATATTGGACAGTGTGGATTCGATGGCCTGGCACATCAAATCCACATAAGTTCCAGGCTTTAATCAACACCAGGGCACAGTGTACATTAATGCCATCAAGTTATAGAGGGGCAGAACCTATCTGGATCTCAGGAGTGACAGGGGGCTGTCAACAACTATCAGTACTGGAGGCCGAGGTTCGCTTGACTGGGGACAAGTGGGAAAAACATCCCATTGTAACTGGCCCAGAAGCCCCTTGTATCTTGGGCATTGACTGTCTTAAGAGGGGATACTTCAAAGACCCAAAAGGATACCGATGGACTTTTGGTGTGGCCAGTGTGAACACAGAGAACGTAAACAGTTGACTAATCTGCCTGGCCTCTCAGAAGATCCTTTTGTGGGACTGTTGCAAATTGAAGAACAACAGGTGCCAATTGCTACGAACACCATGCACCGGCGGCAGTATTGTACAAACTGAGACTCTGGCTCCCATCCAAGAACTGATTCGTCAACTGGAGAGCCAAAGTGTCATCAGTAAGACACATTCGCCTTTTAATAGCCCAATATGGCCGGTGTGAAAGTCTGACGGAGCGTGGAGGTTAACAGTAGACTATCGTGGCCTGAACGGAGTGACACCACCACTGAGTGCTGCTGTACCAGATATGTTAGAGCTCCAATATGAACTGGAGTCAAAGGCAGACAAGTGGTAAGCCACAATCGACATTGCCAATCCATTCTTTTCAATTCCTTTGGCAGAAGAGTGCAGGCCACAGTTTGCTTTCACCTGGAGGGGTGTCCAGTATACCTGGAATCGACTGCCCCAGGGGTGGAAGCACAGCCCCACTATTTGTCATGGACTAATTCAAACTGCACTGGAAAAGGGTGATGCCCCTGAACATCTACAATACATCGATGACATCATTGTATGGGGCAATGAGGCAGAAGAAGTGTTCAAGAAAGGACAAAGAGTAATTGAGATTCTTCTGAGAGCTGGGTTTGCCATAAAGAAAAGCAAGGTCAAGGGACCAGCGCAAGAAATTCAGTTCTTGGGAATAAAGTGGCAAGATGGACGCCA